ATGCCGACCCTCCAGAAGGAAACATCTCCTTTTTTTAAGCACCTGCGAAAACTTCCAGACTTTCTGCCATTTAAGTCTGTGAAAAATATCCACATTGAGAAGGTTCTGAATAAATAAATAAATAAATAAATAAGTAGTGATTGTTCATACTACTGTGTTTCCCCGAAAGTAAGACTTACCCCGAAAATAAGCACTAGCTTGATTTTGGAGATGGGCCTAATATAAGCCTTACTTCAAAAATAAGCCCTAGTTTTGAGGCAAGACACACACCTAAAAATCAAGCTAGGGCAGGGGTGGGGGTGTGGAGCTGCCCTAAGCACCTCTCACTCACTTACCTTGCAGCCTGGCCTCTCCTCGCCAGCCTACTTCTTCTGCGGCATCCCCAGGCCTGCATTTCGCAGTCAGAGGCCTTTCTGGAAGGCCTCTGCAGCCAAGAACCAAGCTATGGATTGCAGTGGTTGCAGTGGCCTTCCAGAAAGGCTTTTGACTGCGAAATGCAGGCCAGACTTCCATTCTCAGCTGCAGAATGAGCTGCTCCTTTGGCTGCAGAAGAAGTGGGCCAGCTGGTTTTATTTTTAGGGAAACACAGTAGGACTCAGAAGGAAAATTCTATCAAACCTCCGTGGGGCTGCTGTTCATTCACTTACTATCCAGCATCTTCAGGCAAAAGAAAGAAGCAAAGCATTTCAGTGAAGGGAATATATTCAGGCACACTCAGATTAGTAGTCTAAATTAAGAGCGATCTTTTAAGACATCATGATAATTTCACTGTCAGCCTTGCATGATAGTCCAGACAAGAAGTACCCCTAGATGTACTAGCTCTGCCTTTATTGTAAGGTTACATTAACATAATTTTGCAAGTCTGAAAGTGCATCTCTCCCCTGGTACTTTTACAGTCCAAGACACTAGGGACAATAGATGTTTGCAACGACCCTTTTCCTTCTGCAGGCTCAGCTACCTTTTGTCTGACCATTACCTAGTCTGCAGCTCTTCCTCCTATCTCCCAAGGTTAGGGGTCTCCAAACTTTTCAGTGTGAGGACCACACTGGACATTTTACAAACATTTGAGGGTCAGGGGGAAAAAATCAATTTTACAAATGAGCAAATAAAATTTAATTGAATGAACGTGTTTTGAAAAGATTTGCCTTTTCTGAGCATAACTCTTCCAAATGCTTCCATCCTACAGTCTTTGATGAGATCCCAGACAGTGAATAGCTTCCCTCTTTTAGCCACTTTGCAACTGGCTCTGGTCAAACTTTCATTTTCAGTTGCGCAAAAGGTCCTTGCTGGGAAAGCAAACTGCGCTGCATTGATGAAAAGGTTTCTGAACACTGTTTACTCCATTCCCGTTGGCCTCATACTGCCATTTCAAATTGTAGTCCTTCAAAACGGCAACTGTTTCTTTGCATATGAGGCACAAGGCTTTGTCACCTGCTTATACACCCCTTTCTTCATTAAACTGGCAGCACTCGACCACTTTTTTTCTCTTTCTTCCTGACATAAACCGAATATCTGCAATAAGTGAAGAGCAGTGAGTGCCATTAGTTCTTATGTCTGGGACATAAAACATAAAACCAGAGAAAAGCTATGCTGGATCAGCCCAATGCCCAACCAGTTCAAATCATTCCTCTCCCGCCCCCCGCCCCCCAAGCGACCTCCAGCTGGTTTCCTCTTCCTCGTCCAGCTAGCCCTGCATCAGTTTGAATGGGGCTTTGTTTGCATGGGGAGGGAAATGATCCAAGGGAGCCCTTTGGATCACCTTCCACTTGGCAAAGGAAGCAAACTTCTAGCTGGCTCAAAACCAGCACAAATTTTAAAGGGGAAGATGCTTCCCCATCCTCATCCAGCAACCCTCCATCTGGCTCACAACCCCCCCCCCCCATCAAAGAAATTGAGGGAATCCTACCTTCCTTTCCAAACAGTGGTGAACACAACCCTGCTTTCTCTCTCTGTGCTGTTTGGAAAGGATTGGAGCACAGCGCAGGGGAGACCTGGCAGTGTGATAGGAACCTTCCAGAGGGCCAGGTGTGGCCTGCAGGCTGTAGTTTGGAAACCCCTGCCCATGGTCATAGCCCATGGAATTTGCCTTCTTTAAGGCTATATGCCAAAATGGGCATATAGGGATCCACTTGTGCACACTTTCCTCTACTTAGTATTTTTGAACTATGATAGACAAGAACCTCATCTCCACTCAACACAGTGCTATGCTGACAAAGTAATAACATGGATGTCCTTTTATGATTAATCTTGAAAAAACCATGTAAAGGTTTATATGTGCAGAACACCATGCTAATAATTTTTCCTCTTCAGTTTAAAAAAAAGCAGTTGCAATTTTTTTGTAGCTGTAGCACAAAATAACATTTAACTGGAGGGTAACCATTTCCCAAAACACATATGGTCTTTTATACTTCACTTTGATTCTGTACTATTTTACATCCCATCTCTGCATTATCATAGATATGAGATGGTATTTATTTAGTAGCTTTTTAAATCCTCGCTTAGCATTTTGTCATGTTAATCTAGTAAGATATTTTCTTAGGTCTTTAAACACTAGTTGAATGCTTAATCCAATACAGTTCTAAAATAACTTAAATAACATTTTTAAAAATAATATGAGCTGATCAATAAGATTATTAAAAGTAGTTATCATAAATAAATATGATGCTAACCTGATTTTAGTGCAGAAATTTTCAAATAAACACAATCTGTAAAAACTACCTGCTTAAAAATTGACCTACCCCTATTATGGGTTTCCTGAACATTACAATAAAACATATAATCCATAGCAAGGAAAAAATGAACTTAATAGTTCTATTTTGTGTCAATACTGAGAAATATTGCTATAACTTGTATAAGCAGTTCCCTATAATTTTGTTCTGCAAAGTATTTCTCACCTAGTGAAAATATATTAGGAAGGGAAGGGGAGAAAACATTGTAAATTATTCTTAATCTAAAGCTTTCAGGAAGTGACAGTTCAAACCAGCAAAGATGTTGGCCTCAACAAATGTTCTTTCTTGATCTCAGTGATCTCTTGATCTCTTCCAATTTAAACTTCTTCTTTAAAAAACAAATCTCTCCTTAAAGAAGAGATGTACTTCAATAATCACTGTAATAATTTGTATAGCTTTATCTATTGTTTTATGAGTTGTTTTATGAGTGCATCATGTAGCTACAAGGAAAGTAGCTTCCACAACAGATGAGTGATTGAAGGTGAAAATAACTTTTTATGATTATCTAATGAGTTGATCAGAAAAATAACATTCAAATTGAGAGATATTTGTGAAACTGCTTAAGACCCGGTTGAGTGCCTTGTCTGGAAAGCTTTGTCAGTGCTCCATCTATTGGCTTCCAGGGAGCTACTGTTGCAATGTCTTCTGAGAACATCTGCATGTTACTTGCAGCTGTAATACCAGCTCTTTATTATATCTTTATCATGAATATATGGTTGCTGCATATTGACAATATGGAACACTAATAAGCTGTTCTAATCATAGCTCCAATTCCACAGCATAGTATTTTATCCATTTTTAAGGACAAATGTAATGAACAGAACAAATTGTTTAAGAGCCAGTTCTAATGTGCAACTTAGAGCATGAACTTGTAAGTTGAGGGAAGCATTCTCAGGTGATAACTTTGGTGTAAAATGATTCATTTTACCATGCATTTTTTTACCATGCTAACCAATTCTCATCATAGGGGCAGATGAAGAACGTAAGAGTATATTGTTGTTATTGTTGTTACCATAACAATTATTATTTTAACAATAGCAGTCAGCAATGAAGTTCTCCGATTTTCAACTTTTCTGAGACCCACAGATTAGATACTTTTAATATTGTTCCAAATATGGCTGTACAAACTCTGAACTATTGCTTAAGCTACCATATTTACTTCAGATGCTCTTGTTAGCTGCCATAATAATGGGGACTAATATTTTTACCAAGAAAGAAGAGTGTGACTTTCTGTTCTTCAAGTCAGAGAAGAAATATGGTTTCATGCTTAATTTGTATAAAGCCTGATATATAATGCATTATCTCATTCAAAAGTAAATAGAGGATATACACATGGATGAAAGATTAAATCCTGGAAATTCTAAACAATTGATAGGAAGCATAGTCTGGCAAATTGATTGTGCTAGTGTCTGTGAGAAGAAATGGAAAGGGGATAAAAAACAGAGTATTTGTGTATTCTTTAATCACATGTAAGATGTTTAAAAATCCTCTTAAAAATAAGACATACAGACAAGATTGACCTCTAGCAAGTTCGGCATGCTAAGATTTTTCATCAATATACCTGTCTCTCTCTGTGTGTGTGTGTGTGTGTGTGTGTGTGTGTGTGTGTGTGTGTGTGAGAGAGAGAGAGAGAGAGAGAGAGAGAGAGAGAGAGAGAGAGAGAGAGAGAGAGAATGCTATTCTCAATAACAGAAATGTAGTAAAATATATATATACAGCACGTGCAACTCTGCTCAAGGAGAAAGAAATAGTTGAAGAAAATTTATTTTCTTCATAGGGAGAAAAACCTTCATCAGGGTCCAGCCCAAACTGGGAATAAGCAAAATGGAGACTGCTTTAGAAAAAAGGTTGTAGTTTACTGAAAAGGAGAGCTAGACAGAAAGATGGCTCTGGGAAAGCTGACCACATGTAGTAGGGAGTAGTGGGTTTTTATACCTTCTTGAGCTTTTGTTTGGAATTGTTCCTGTGGCATGAACTTTGACCTGAATCTGAGTGTACCTTTCTGGTATTCTGATAGTGGTGGGTTAATCCTATTATGTCCCAAAGGTCATATCCTGCTTCCCTGGGGCTGTGGCTGCTGACTATTGGATTTTTGGTGTGAGGGATTGTTGATTCTAGGGATCTTTGTCTTTCTAATCCAAGTTTACTGGCTCCAATCTTTCTGACAAGATTATCACATCTGCATTTCTGCAGACCTAGTTTCTGTTTGGGGCACAGAGACTTGGGGGGGGGGGTTGCCTTTAAGATCCTTTGGGGAAATATATTCTGCCTTTTTAATATTTCCCAAAATATTTCTTTCTCTGGATTCTTCCCACAATCCCTCTTTGTGCCATAAGAGTGTGAATGACAGACTTTTACTGGCACAAGATTAAAATTTGATCTGGTCAGGGAGACTTGATAAACCAACTTTTAAAATGTTAATGCAAAAAAAAGGGAAGACACTAATAGAGGCAGCAGAAAAAGATCCCTGCAGTGGCTCCCAAAAGGGGAGCTTTTCAACCATGAAGGTCTAAAAGTCAGGGCAAAAATTCTGTTAGGTGGGGGGGATTATAGTGTCCAATATTCTGTGCCAATTATTTTAGATGTTTGATGCCACTTCAAGGCTTCAAGTCAGGTTTGCACATTCCTCCAAAATTCTTCACAGCCATAACCTCAGTACATAACTACTGACTGTCCATTTTCAAGGGCTGCTTTCTGAGCCTGCCTTAGGTCTTAGTTCAGTGCATCCAGGTTTGTGATGTTCAATTGAGGTTAGCCAGTGTGCAACCCAAGCTATTAAATTGCACACAGTGAGCCCTAGGACTCCCATTCTGAGTCTACCAGTGCAACATATTCAGGGCTTGGGTTTTGGAGATCTCTTTCCTGCTACCTCCTCAGTGAGAGCATATGAACTGCAAATTGCCTGAAGGGGGCTGATTCCCTCCCCTTGGAATTTGCAGGAAGTTGTGCATACAAAGCTTCAGTGCTATAGGGCAAGAACCAGGCTAAGGAGCTTTACTGAAGATAGGTGAAGGGGATAGCCTTAGTGTGATTCTAAATGGTGTGCACGCATGTGTGCATATAGCTACTTCTACAAAACAGGCAATACAAGCATTCTGGACAAATTTTCCAGACAGAAATCCAAGGTGTTCAATACTTGCTGTGCCAACCATTCCCAAATGCCATCCCTCCATGAATACATTCAAATGGTTTATTACAATACAAATGAGGCAAGAAAGAAAACCTTACAATGAGTTTATGCCCTCCCCCCATAGTCTTTCCAGGTTTCTTCTGAGGTTTCATGTGAGGGCCAATGGCTCCAGGACTCCTTCCTTCCTCTGTAGCTTTCACAGACATCTGGGGGGTGGTAGGACTTGGGAATATCTGTTCCACTCTGGTTGCATGGTGGGTTTCTAGTGGATGACTGGATTCAAACCCAATTCTCTGGCTCAAATGGATGGAAGCAGCATCTGGGTCAGTGTGCTTTGCTTGCAAAGATTGTGGGGGTTATCTGTGCAGGGCTGAAAGACATGAGAACAAGATCCCCTCCGCCCTTTCTGGGTGGACTCTCCCAAGAGAGGCATTACTGGTCAGACTTAGGCATGGAAAACAGAGGATAAAAAAATGGAGAATTGGAAAGGGGGAAATAACTTGCAGGCAGAGTTTGAAAGACATTAATACTATAGTTGTTAAAGAAACAGATAAGACCGGTCACAACAAAATGGGGACACTACAGATGAGGACAAGAGAGAGGCTGGATTCTGGTAAGAGAACAAAAAAATGAAAGGCCTCACTTCTGAAACTGAACATTTGCAACATGTTAAAGAGGACTTAAGGACTTGTAACTTGAAAATGCTGGGCAGCTTGAGAATGCTGAAAGCTCCAAATAATTTTATAAGCCTAGAATTTTTGTGTGTACAATTTGTGAGGGCATGGAGAATCTACCTTTAACATTTGTTTTAAAATAGACCACATTATTTAGAGATTGAAAAATGCTTATATGTTCCAGGATTAGTTCCATAGTAGTTTCACTGATTAATGATAGGATAAGAAAAGAAACTAAGAAGGTTATTTCCCTGCACAAACTTGAACTCATTAGGATCTTATAGCTAGACACACCTCATGTTTCAGGAAAAGGATAGACAGATAAAACCCACTTACAACACATACAGAAAAGAAAGAACGAAACCTTTCCTGTAGATGAACTTAAAACGTTCCCTCCTGACAATTTTGGGGTGTTCTTACAAGTACTGAGAGAGAAAGAAAAAAAAAAGAACACATTTCTCTTCACCCTGTTTGCTGGCCAGACAAACAGAGTGAAGATATTTTCCTTTTGGTGACTTATTTTAAGCAGAATTTTAAAATTCTTGTCTCTAGAGATTAGAGACACCCAACAGTTAACATTTACCTCAAGGACACACAAAGACTTTGACACACTTACAAACACAAATACAAGGAAAAAGGAACAGAAAAGGAAACAGAACTCTTAGTTTTACACATCCTGGTCATTCCCACCATAAATCTCCGTTAACTCAAATTAGAGAAGGCACAAATCTTAAACATATCATGTGGTTGCATAGAAAGAGAGGGGGGGGAGGGAGGGAGGGGAAACACTATTCCTATATTTTATTTCCCTTTTCCTTTTAAGTACCTTTATTTAGCCAAATTGGTTTCCCAACAAAGCCCTGAGCAAAGACCACTCTTTACATAATTGGTGTGCACGCTTCTTTTTCATTCCTGCCTGGATGGATAACCTTTTTTAGATCCCAGGCTTTTAACAGTCTCCCTAAAGGAGACATCAGCAGAACCTTAGAATCAGAGCTTCCCATATTTTCAGGCAAGACTCTGACCTGTTTACCCACAGTGAGTCTTTTTTTCTACTCTCCTGCATCCCCAGAGTGACTCTTTTCTGGAGTCCCCTGTTCTGGCAAGGCAATTTTTCAGCCCTTGCCCCTTGTCAAGGCGACTTTTGAAGCCACCCTAGCCTCTTGGCAAGGCAACTTTTGAAGTCGCCCTAGCCCCTTGTCCCAGTTTCAGACCACAAAGGGATCTGGGAGGACTCTGACGTCCTTTTCACAGAGTACTGTATGAGAGTCCCTCTTAGAAGAGTGGAACTTTGTCCAGTGGTTTCAGCCATTTGCCCAGGTTTGACTCTCTCACTCACTCATTCCATTCCATTTTCACACAGCCTCTCCCTTTTCCCTAACAAAAGGTCCTGCACTCTGGCCAAACCCCCATGCTTTCCAGAGTATGTTGCTTGAACAAATCTTTTGGTGGTTAGGAAAGACCAGAGGAAGCAAAATCTAACTGTGATTAGGAAAAGGGTCTTCTCTCACACAGAGACACACACACATTTCCTTCACTCCCCTGGGCTTTAAAGTTAAAATTTAGAGGTACTCACTTTCTTTCCAAAGCAGCCCTTGAACTCAAACTCAAAACTCCCTTTACTACCTTTGCTCCAAATGGGCAGGGCTTCGGAAACCCATCCACAGACACAAGGGGTCTGCTGCCAGTCTCAGTCCACTAGAGAGGTTAACTTAGAGTCCCATCCTGGGTGCCAAATTGTTGAAAGAAAAATCTTCATCAGGGTCCAGTCCAAACTGGGAATAAGCAAAATACAGACTGCTTTAGAAAAAAAAAAGGTTGTAGTTTATTGAAGAGGAGAGCCAGACAGAAAGATGGCTCTGGGAAAGAGAGAGAGTGGTGGGTTTTTATACCTTCTTGAGCTTTTGTTTGGAGTTGTTCCTGTGACAAGAACCTTGACCTGAGTCTGAGTGTGCCTTTCTGGTATTCTGATTGTGGTGGGTTAATCCTATTATGTCCCAAAGGTCATATCCTGCTTCCCTGGGGCTGTGGCTGTGGCTGACTGTGGATTTTTGGTGTGAGGGATTGTTGATTCTAGGGATCTTTGTCTTTCTAATCCAAGCTTCCTGGCTCCAATCCTTCTGACAAGATTATCCCATTTGCATTTCTGCAGACTTGGTTTCTGTTTGGGCAGAGAGAGTTGGCGAGGGGGGTTGGTTTCTGCCTTTAAGATTCTTTGGGGAAATATATTCTGCCTTTTTAATATTTCCCCAAATATTTCTTTCTCTGGATTCTTCCCACAGGGGAAAAGAAAAAAAAGATAAATTTAAATTCCTAGATGGTCTTGACTGATTGGCTGGTTTTATGTCAGCACTGACCCTACAGTAACCCCCTCTTGCTGATCAAAAGGATTAAAGACTCCCAGTCATATGCCTTGGCTGGAAAGCTTTGTCAGTGCTCCATCTATTGGCTTCCAAGGAGCTACTATTGCAATCTCTTCTGAGGACATCTGCACATTACCTGCAGCTTCCACTGACCTTCATTTAGAGTCAAAGATGTTTGGGTTGATAATTTACATTTTTTCTGAAACTGGCACTCTTAAGGGTGTAGGATTACTGCTCCCATATTTCCTAGCTAACTGAGCATCAAGGAGCTTATAGACCACTCTGTTGGTGGATTAGAAAAAACTGATTTAGAAAGATTATCAACTGTTATGTATTCTCTTCATAGTATTTGAGGGGGAGGGAGGAAATCTGGGAAGAATGTGGTATTATTAGTTGAATAGCAATGCTGTTGAATAAAAACTATGTTAAGGAAAACGTTGTTATAGAGGAGTATGGAGGGATCATTATTTTGGTGCCTATAACATCCTAATGTCAACTGATCAAGCCACTTTTCCTTGGTTGCTTCATGAATCCAACGATGCAGCTTTCTAAAGAGCAGAATAGATGCTGGATGTATAAATGGTCCTCAGTTATTGATTCAATATGAGACAACCTTTGGTCAAACATACTATCCCAATTGTAAAATGAGATTGAAAAACCAAATTATAAAGTACTCTAAATACTAATCATTATCATTACCAAAGTAGAGACCTGCAGCTACCAAGTACTGCAGTGATGCAGCCACACCCCACATGAACAGATTTCCAACTCAGACCTTCAGAGTCAGGAACTGGATCTGCTCTTTGGCCCGTACAGTGGAAAGAGAATTACAAAGAGGAAGGAATTTTTTTTCCTCCACTATCCTTTCTAAAGTATGCTCAAATTGAGATGAAAAACAGAAGACGGATCCCTAAAGAATAAAGGGGGGGTTGGTTTTTTTCTCCTTTTCTTTGTAATGTAATACCTTTTGTGATGAGACATTAATAAGGGCGCATACACACATATGTTTTATGCTCTTAATGCCAGAATCTAATGTCAGAATGTTATGCCCAGTTCTGAGCTATAAAAAGGAGGGTTAGAAAAAGTTATTTGCTTGCTTTTCCATTTTCCCTTTTTTCCTTTGATTTTCACGGTACATTCTCAACTTTCAACTTCCTACATTGCTTTCAGGGCTCAAAATCTACTGCTACAGATCTATGAAAAAGAGTTGATACGGTATTTATACTAGGAGATACAACTGCCATCTTCACACTGGTTGGAATTTCCTGGATGAAACATCCCTTGAGATCTTGTGAACTTTTCCTTGTTTTTTTTTTAAGAAAAGGAAATATGAATGTAGTGAGTAAATGAATATTTCCAAAGATGAAAGTTATTATATTTATACACACACATACGTATGTACATACACATACACACATAAATGTGTGTCTCAATGTGTCTCACTTTCATTCTTGAAATGTTAGGTGATAAATACATAAATTACATATTTCTTCCATTTTTAAAATTCAGAACAGTTTACAACAGTTATAAAACCAGTACTGCACGATAAAAACAATTAAAAGTCCATTATGAGATGGCATTAATAACTGATAAGCTAAACATAAAACTTGTCAAGTAAACTCCCTGTAGTGATTCAATGGGCAATTGTGGTTACTAATGATGGATCAGCTACAAGACTCTTCTCCACAGGCCTTATGATGTACTTTCCTCCCATCCTGGAGAATAGAAGAAAGCAGATTGCTTGAAAAAATCTCTGCCCCCTCCCTCCACAGCATTATTCTTGTCATGCCTCTGAAATGAGGCCAGCAAAAGGGTAGTTGTTTGTTAACTGTTTTGCTATTGCTTCTGCTGATTCCAGGATACCAAAGGAGGAGGAAGGGGAATCTTCTAATATCTGCCTCCCTACTCCCTAATATTATTGTAATTCTCAGGAAGAAAAATGTTGATTGCTATGGAGGTCTTTCCAGAAACTAAAGGAGAAATTACTAAGGGGACAGAAAGCCCCAGAGGCAGATCAGAGTGTGCAGTCCTGTGTTTGAGTCAACTGGAGCCCTGCACGTCCTTGGCCTCTCTTAGATTCACCAATGAGACGCTGAGGGTTCATAGGTAGTCCTTGCTTAATGATGGTAATTGGGAGCAGAATTTCCATCACTGAGTGACATGATTGTAAAGCACATCATGTGATCACGCCAGTCAGCGGCTGTCATAGTGGGCTCAGATTCAAAGTCAGGAGAGGAAACTGACAAAAAGCAGCCAGCTTCAGAATTGCCAACAGACAATGAGCAGTCAATTCCAGAGTCACCAGATGGACTGCTATCTGTGAGGCAGAGGACATTGAGTTTGCCAGCAACCAACAGACATGGCTGCCACTACTCTCCAAGATGGTGCAGAATTATTGCCCTCTCCTAATGAAGAGCTTGGCAGGGTGCAGAGCAAAGGCATTCTGCAAGACTGCTCACAAGGAAGTAGTCTCACCTCACTAAATGAGCAACAGTGGGTCTGCTTCTATTAAAACAGAACAGTAAGTTCAAGTTCTCTGTTGACGACAGCCATCCTTTAACAGTCAGGGTTTCTCAACCTTGGCAACTTTAAGACTTATGGACTTCAACTCCCAGAATTCCTCAGCCAGCAAAGCTGGCTGACTGCTTTAACTCCTATTCCATGAGCCTTGAGTCTTGAATCTCATGACCTTGACTTTGAAAACGGACTGGCTGACAAAGCTTTTACAAGCTCTGGCTCTCAGATTTCGACTGACTACTTCTCTGCTCACTACTTTAATTTTGGAACTTGTAAACCAAATTGCTGGACTTCGGGTGGGACTTGTATGTGTATGCAAACACATGCACTACTGCAACTGTATGTGTTTGCAAACCTGGATTAATAAAGTAAGCAAGCAACTTCTTCAGTTATTTGTATGTGCTTGGCCTGGGACAAGACAGTGATGGCAGTTCCAGGAGTCCTAGCTTTTTGCAAAAAAAAAAATTATTTTAAAATAATGACAAAAAAGAGGAACAAAGCTCAAATATAATTACGATAAAAATACATATACTGTTAAAAAAACAAAAATCATATAGAAAGTGTTTTAAAAACAAAAAAAGAACAAAGGAAAAAATAGTATATCATTTTAATTCTAATGAGTTACACTTTTATATATATCAAATGCAATTATTATTCAGATATATTTCTAATACATTTATATAGCTTTCTCTTTTTTAAGCTACTGTATTTTATATGAAGGAGTCCCATATTTCATTATATTTGTCTTCATCCATGGCAATTGACACATAGGTGGCAATTGCAATCAGGTCTTCAAACCATTGAAAGAGGCCATATATTTATCAGTTACTATCCTTAAACAAAACACTATGAGTGGTGAGAACCTCACCTGACTGCAACTTCTTACTTCCTGTCAGCTTCCCCACTGACTTTGCTTGTGGGGAAGCCAAGATGGAAAGTCACAAAATACTTACTCAATTTATAGCAGTTGTTGCAGAAATGACTATAATAGTTTTCTTTTCCTGGGTTCAAGAATAGATGAAAGTGGATAGTGTGATATAAAATGAAGAAGCCATTCTAGGGAGGAAGATAATACTAAACTTAATACAAAATCATGAAAGATAAGGATATTTCAATGGCAACAAAGAACAGAATAATTAAAATGATTTTTCGCACTCTACTAGAAGCATGGAGCACAAAACTGAAAAAATAAGTAAAGCAATGATTCCATATCATATCCAGTATGGTGTATATTTATTAAAAAGAGACATTGAAGAACTGCCATAGAAAGAATATCCCTCGGATTTTTTTTTTTTTAATTTGGGGACTGTTATTAACATAAAATATACTGAAAGAAGACCAAACAGTTCTGGATCAAATAAAAATGGAGTACTCCCCTGAGGCAATGAGCAGCCAGGAGGCTGTGATGCAAGCAGACAATGGACTAGATAAAAAAAACTATGTTCTGACTATAGGAAGTAGACAGGAAAGACAGGGGCTCAAGTAGACAGGCTGGGTTAGCAAGATTATTGCAATGTTCTAGGAAGTGCTACAAGTTATTGCTGAGGATGACTCTAGACAGCAGTCATTTGTTCATGCAGTCGATGAAGCCACATGGTGACAACTAATCAATGCTTTATTCTCCTACTCCAATTCCAAGCAAAAGCAAAAGGCACGCAGGCCTTTTTATAGGGCTTGAAGCCCGGACAGAATGAACCAATAAGAGTTCTTCTTCCTTCGTGCCTTGCGCATGCGCACAAGGCTGGCGCCACTCTGTCTGGTCCCAGGCAGCTTTTAGAATGCCCTGGACCATTTGCAACAATTATGGGCCTGCTGAGTTTCCTCATCAGGCCCAGGACACAGCATACTGTTTTTTTCACAAACGCTATTTCTGATCCTTCATCACCATCCCTCTACATTTGAGTTATTTTCATATTCCATAGGTCTTTCTCTAATCAATCAAAATGTTTTAAATGTCTGTTTAAACACTATTTTGTATCATCTGAAGATTTGATATGAAATAATCTAAGATTAATGTTTTTTTAAAAAAATTGAATTCTTTTGGACCTATTCTGGTCCTAGGTTATTCTATGTAACATCTCACTCTAGATGGTATTAACAAACGTAAGAGTACTGTTTTCAAGTCAGCTATAGATACACTTAAAGGGGCGCAATGACTCAGCAGTTAAAAATGCTGTGTCAGCCCTGCCTCAGCCTGCACATCTAAATAAAAATTATCCTTGACTCCATTTGTTGCAAAAGGTACAGTTTTATTAGAAGTTAAGAAAAGCAAAGCCAGAACTGAAATTCATATACCAAATCCCCAAGTGTAACTTTCCCCCTCTTAGGCATTTCCCACTGCTGTCCCCCACCCCATCATCCAATCAATTTCAAAGAATATGTTTTTGAAATGGTCACTCCGGGTGTAGGCTGGTTTGCAGCAGCATTCTTCTCCCAGGGGAATGACCTTGAAACACTGTCTTGGAGAAATACACTTCCATTACTTTCACTTTCCCCCTAAGCATTCACCACCATCCCCAGGGTCCATGGTAGACTGGTAGCGGGCAATAGCAGGAGCACAGGCCTGAGGTGGCAGTTCTGACACACGGAGCTTATCAGCTGGAAAGCTGACAGCCCAGATTCGAGACCTGAGTGCTACGCAACAGGATGAGCTCCTATCCTGCCTATCTGGCAGTTCAAAAGCATGCAAATGTGAGTAGATAAATAGCTACCACTTTGGTGGGAAGGTAACAGCATTCCATGCTCCTGTGATGTCTCCTTTGAATGATTCCCCAGATACCTCCTCAGATGTCAGCTCAGGGGAGAATGAGCCAATTCCTAGCATGAATGGAACCAAGTTGATTGATGGCTCTGAACGGCCAGCTGGAAGGGATTTGGCTGAGGCTCCAGCTGGGGAAAGCTTGCAGTGGCAGATGGCTACCAAAGAGGAGGAACTGCCTTCTGCACCTGATCCAAGATCATGTAGGGCAGAGAAAAGGCAGGAGCAGAGAAGGTCAGCCCGACTATTCAAGAAGAGAGGGCCCTGCTTGTCTTGATGGGCTGCACCAGAAGCTGGCTATTTATCACAGGAGAAAAATGGAGGCATTGCTGGGAACAATGTGTTTGTTTTCTAGCTGTGTGTTTGGTCATCGTGATTCCTGCTTCACTCTGGATTGACACCGTGTTTGGAATTGAAGACTCAGAAGTTTTCTTGCCCCATGAGCTCTCTTGTATGTAGATTTACATTTTGCCTGGTGGAATTAGGTTTGTCTGGCAAAATTATTTTGTTCGAGCAACTTTTAAGTGCCTTGTGGACTATTGGACCATTGCTCTGTGGACTAACCTTGGTTTGTTCATGGCTGGATTTGATTGGGACAGTTCTGGGTTCTTGGTGAAGGGAATTGCTGGGGAATATTAATAAACTCACTAGACCACAGTTACGAGCGTGTGTGTGAGTGAGCAGGGCAGTACAGCACTTTGGCACCTAATCATGCTGTCCACATGAATTTGGAAATGTTTTCAGACAACGCTGTCTCTCTCAGCTAAGAAAAGGAGATGAGCACCGCTCCCCTAGAGTCGGACACAACTGGATAGGGGAAACCTTTACCTTTATCTCTTTATATACTTGGTTATAATATCCAGCCACGACTGAAGAAATAGTGTGGGATGACAGGATTAGGTACGATCTTTGTTTCAACAGTGCTGCTAGGAATGTTCTAACTCTGCTATAGCAGTGTAACTGTAATTTAGTGGCAGGTAGCTTAATAGCACATTAATAGCACACCAGCATGAGTTTCTTTGAAAATCTGAATTAAACTTCTCTCAAAAATTTACTAAACTATGAAATGACTAAATTGTAATACTCTAGGAATGTTAATGTTAATGATATTTCAGATTTGCTGGTTATTCAACATGTTAGCCATTCACCTGTATTTTATTATTTATATTTGTGGAGGGTTTTTATTATACAGGTAGTCCTCGGCTTACAACCACAATTGAGCCCAAAATTCTTTTGTTAAATAAGACATTTGTTAAGTGAGTTTTGCCCCATTTTATGACTTTTCTTCCCATAGTTGTTAAGTGAATCACTGCAGTTGATAAGTTAGTTATACAGTTGTTAAGTGAATCTGGCTTCCCCATTGATTTTGATTGTCAGAAGGTCACAAAAGGTGATCACATGATCTGGGGACACAGCAATGGTCATAAATATGAACCAGTTGCCAAGCACCTGAAGTTTAATCGCATGATCATGGGGACACTGCAAATGTCGTAAATGTGAAAACAGCTCATAAATTGCATTGTTCAATGCTGTTGTAACTTTGAACGGTCACTAAATGAACTGTTGTGAGTCATAGACTATCTGTAGTTTATATGTTGTTAAATCTGTATGTATGTCAGTTTAAAAAACAGAAAAAGAAAAAAAATCAGCAAATCATAAAAGTATTGAAACTATTGCTTCAAAATGTTCAGGTTTTCTACAACAGAAAGCTTGGGCAAAGATGAGCTGATGCAGAGAGTGGTGTGAATTTTAAAGAAAGATGACAGATCTCTCTGCTAATAGCTACTTGATCGGAGCTCCAGTGTTTCCTTTTAATAAAAAAGAATCTAGAATTAAAGTGTGTCTCAGCAGATGGCAGTATCTGGCTAAACCTGAACTAACCTGATCTGAGATGAAAAGCTAAACAAGATCAGCTTTGGGAGACCCTGTAGCCTAACCAGATACCTAGGAAAAAATATATAACCTGGGATAACTTACTTGAAAGGTCACCGGTTAGAAAATCAGGAAGGAGACAATAGCAAATCACTTCTATACTATTGCCAAGAAAACTATAAATGTGTCCACCCGGTCACCAGGAACTGAGCTGAAAGCCTCTACACATTTTAGCATAAAAGCATAGAGATGCCTGTAGTACAGGCTCATTCCTTAAAAAGAGGAAATACATCAATAGCAACAAAAGTCACAAAATGTAATTGACAAAAGACAAAAAGCTATATGTATAGAACATTAGAAAAAAAATATTGCAATTTTAAAATAATCTCTCTTATACTAGAAGGAATCTGTGATCAGTGCTTGTGCTGTCTGCTATCCAGATGTGAACTGCTACTAAGCAACCTTAGGGCCTACATACTTCTTTCTCTGATAGAACAGGACTTCATATAAGGATGCTTCAAAACAGAAGGCAGACATGTATAGAGAGGTGGCCATATTAAGCAAGCATGATTTGATATTATTGCTGCTGTTTAAGAGTCTCACTAGTATCATCCTCAATTTTCTGAACTTTGAGGTGGAGGAATGAAGCCCCATGAATATAAAACAACTGTTGTTTTAAATCAGTGTTTCTCAACCTTGACAATTTTAAGGCATGTGGACTTCAACTCCCAGAATTCCACAGCCAGCAATGCTGGCTGTGGAATTCTGGGAGTTGAAGTCCACATGCCTTAAAATTGTCAAGGTTGAGAAAAACTGTTTTAAATGGACCTCTCCATTGTTCCCCTCACTGTTTCATCATGAATTATGTGAGATTCCAGCCCAGAGAGGAATAAATGCATTTAGCTTATTGGTGTTATAACAAAGCTCCTTGGTGATGATGCAATGTCAGAAAAAAAGCTTTTTCAGTTATTGATTTATTGATTACTTGTCTAATATGTATAGTCACCTAACTCACCAAAAACAACTCTAGGCAGCATATAGCAAAACTAAAAGCAATGAATAAATACATAAAACCACTGTGTCACTAGTTATGGAAGCTACTTGAGTGCTGCTAGTACTCACTTTGCTTTGGTGGTGCAAATATGAATGCAGAGGGCAGATAGGGAAAAATACTCCTTTAAAAAAATCCTCAGTTCTCATGCATGATATTAATGTCTTTAGCCATCTAAAATTGTATCATGACGCTTCCATCTGATGAATAAAATCTAGAACTGTTCCCATAAATCACCACAGGTTTGGGGAATCACTTATATCTGCATTGTGACGATAATGAAATCCAGCATTTGAGTCTCTGTTATTGTAATTCACTGATGAGGGAATCACAGCAAGCCACAGAAAGAGGGGAATAACTCATTATTTCAGCTGA